TGCTGTACGCGGGCCTCTCACTGCTGTGGCTTCTCCCGTTGCGGAGCACAGGCTCTGGACGCGTAGGCTCAGCGGCCATGGCTCACAGGCCCAGCAACTCTGCGGCATGTGGGATCTTCCCAGACCGGGCACGAACCCGTGTCCCCTGCATCGGCAGGCGGACTCTCAACCACTGTGCCACTAGGGAAGCCCCTTTGTGTTGTTTTTAATCAGACCATTCAAACACAGATGTAGATTATGGCCAAGCAACCTTCAAAAGATTAGGAATGTACTTTGAGCTCTAGAAATTCCCATTTGCGGTAGGGTGCTGCTCCGTAATAGGGCTTAAGGTAAGAAATGCTAAATTGGGCTTGCCCCACTTTATTCTCAGCTTGCCAGAGACTGCAGAAGAATGATCATCTCCTCTCTAAAGCTGATACACCTCGCCCATTACCACTTAGGTTCCTAATCTGAAATAATGTGTGAGCTGTGGTCCTCTTTAGAAAGAAATTTTAAATTCATCCCTCATGTTGCACTTCATGGTAATACAGCATATGTATAATTCCTGAGCAGCTTTGCCAAATGTCATTTCTCTGAGGGTAGTACATGTACACATACAGGATTTACAAGGCCCTGTCAAGTCCCCCAGATCCTAGTTCAATACTAAAAAAGCAGATGCCATCATCTGTTGTGCAGGCAAAAGGGACTACGTTTCCTCCCTGGGTTTGGAGGGTTTCTGTCTCTCCTTCCCTTGCCCCTCTATTCCCTGTCTGAGGCACTTAATTGCCATCACCACCACCATCACATGCTCACAAACCGTATCTGCTCCCCATGCTTATAATACTGAAATTAAATGTCTGGGAAAGAAAAGGGTGTCAACAGAGCAGGAAAAAAACGCTAAGAAAGAGATTTTGAACTTAATGCCATTTCAATCAGCATATCATTCTACATTCCTCATAATCTATGTGTCATGCTTCTGATAAATACTTCTTATAACCATATCACTGGAAGACTGACAAATGCAAAGACTAACATAAAATAAGGTTACTGAGTCTGTTCAAATGTCATCTTTCAAAGGTGTCACCTTTGAGATTTTATCATTTATTCTAACAATGTTGCCATTTCTCAAAACATTTTTGAACTCAGAAGAAGCTCCTTCACAAACAAGAAAGCCATTTTCATTACTTTATGTCACATTGGTATACTGACCAAAGTTATCCAGCTTGACTACTAATTTTATGTAGTAAATTCAGCTTTTGGATAATAACAATAATGATAGCAATAACAATTATTAATTTTAGTAGCTACCATTTATCAATCATTTATTATGTACTGGGTTGTATGAGGCACTTTACATATATTATCTCATTTTATTAACTTAATCATATTTCTAGTAATTTATTCATATTTCCAAAATCAAAATTTACCTAAAAAGGATGAAGATTTGACTCCATGTTAAGACATTCAGACAAATGTATCACCAATTTTCAAGGTGGCTGGAAAGAACCTTTCAAAGTATTCTGAGCAAAGTACACAGCTTTCTCAAGTGAAGTCCATCATCTTTATGCTCATCTATATATTCGTCAATCTTCCAATGAGATGGTTATAAGAAGTATATTATGAGGAATGCAGAATGATATAAACAGTCACCTCACTGGGTATATGAGTTCTGATACATTTCTTTAAAAATGTGTATGTGTGTGTGTGTATGCATGAGATGTAGTAATAACACACACATCATTACTATGTGTAAAGCTTGTATACATTCTACACGCTCCTGGAAGTAAGCAAGCTCTCTTAAAGTACAAGGACAGGCTATACACTATCAATACCTTGAGAGCAATAAATAGAAACAGCTGAAACAACAACCCATGCAGAATTTAGCTTTCAGGAATCCTTCAACATGTAAAGACATTTAAACACTCCCATGTTCTCAATTTTAAGAAAGAAACTTACTCTTTTGGCCCGGTCTCTGTACTATTCCCAGATATATCTGAACCAAGAGAAATGCCAGCAGGAGACTGTCGTCCAGAGAAGCCAGATGAAGAAAAGGAAAGTCCATACGGTTCAAAACTGAGAACTAGAATTTTAAAACAACAACAGAGGTTCATATTTAAAACAAAGCAAAAATTATGAAAAAAAAAGCAAAATATGAAATAATTGTAGAATCCAGTGACAATTTTTAAACTGGAAGGGACTTTGGAAATGATCTAATCAAATATTTATAGCAATAATAATAAAGCAGCTATGATTTATTAAATCTCTACTACAGTCTTCATACAATTAGTTAACCAAAGACAGTCTTTCATTTTTCTTTTTACCACCCTTAAAAGCTAAAAAAGAATTCAATTAGGAAAGACAACTGATAAACCAGGTCTACTGAAAAGTTGCTGCTCTCATGCAAAAATGTTTAATGAACTATGAATGAAGACCTGACCATGTTTCTGTTTAACAAAATGCTCTTAGGCACATTCCTGTACCAACTGGACAGATGGAGCCCTCAATGTGAAATCCCCCTTACTGACAAAGAACAAGGTTTACTCAGGTTCAGATTCCTTTGCGTCTGTATACCCAAATGAATTCAATCAGAGCCATAAAATTCATATTGTTATTGTGGTAGAGCAGATACCGATATCCACTTTCCAAGAAGCTACAGAACCTTCAATTCTTAGCTAGGTACATGGCCACCCAGAAAAGAGATGACATTTCCAGACTCCTGTGCCATGTGACTGAATTCTGACCAATGAAATTATATACACATTTTGTGTACAACTTCTGGGAGGAATCCTCCTGGAAGAAAAAACTTCCTCTCTCCCTTCCTCTTTTATGTTCATAAAAAACCATCATCAATACTAGGCTGCCTACTTCCGGATTTCTTTAATGGAAAAGAGCAATAACCCTCCGCCTTGTATAAAGCCCCGCTTTTTCTAATATTTCTGTTTTCTAATATGCTATTTAGCTAAACTTAATCCTAACTGGCACATTATCTCTTTGGACTGTCTGGATTATAATACAAAGGACCTTTTTAAATCATAAAAAGTATCTTAGAAAATAAAATGTGAACTTCTGTAATTATTATCCTCATCTTACAAATGAGGAATCTGTGGCAAAGAGCTTGCCAAAAAGTCACCAAAGAGTACAAAGACAAGAAATGAAAGAGGCAAATGAGAAATCAGATACTCTGGTTCCAGAACTGCACTCTCAACCATTATATTACACTGTCTCCTTCAAAGGAAACAGCACCTAATCCAAAGAGTACTAAATAAATTAGCTTGTGTGTTAGCTAAATGAATGATATGACTGTTCACTATAAAAAAAAAATGGGCTAATTAATAAACAGGTGAAGGGTTCAGACTAGGTCAGCAGTTTCCAAGTGCTGATTTGATAAACAGGAACAAGCTGACTTCACAGAATCTCTCACGTATCTTTTTATACATACAACCAGGCTTTCAGAGATATACTTACAGAAGATATAGGAGTAGGTCTCAAAAATCTGTATCATTTTTTTAAAACTCTCTATGTGATTCTGATTCTGAATCATGTTTGGAAACGAACTGTCTAAATCTAAGGTCCTTTTCAGAAAGAATATCCTCTCATTTTAAGCTTTCCAATCATCCGGTTTAATCTTCTATCCCACGGTTAGAAGGCCTCTTTTAAATAGCATCTGTGACAGTCAGTCATCCAGCCTCTGCACTGAATGTTGAGAATTTTTTCATGTGTTTGTTGGCAATCTGTATATCTTCTTTGGAGAAATGTCTGTTTAGGTCTTCTGTCCATTTTTGGATGGGGTTGTTTTTTTTTTGATACTGAGCTGCATGAGCTGCTTGTATCTTTTTGAGGTTAATCCTTTGTCAGTTGCTTCATTTCCAAATATTTTCTCCCATTCTGAGGGTTGTCTTTTGGTCTTGTTTATGGGTTCCTTTGATGTGCAAAAGCTTTTAAGTTTCATTAGGTCCCATTTGTTTATTTTTGTTTTTATTTCCATTTCTCTAGGAGGTGGGTCAAAAAGGATCTTGCCTGTGATTTATGTCATAGAGTGTTCTGCCTATGTTTTCCTCTAAGAGTTTTATAGTATCTGGCCTTACATTTAGGTCTTTAATCCACTTTGAGTTTATTTCTGTGTACGGTGTTAGGCAATGTTCTAATTTCATTCTTTTACATGCAGCTGTCCGGTTTCCCCAGCACCACTTATTAAAGAGGCTGTCTTTTCTCCATTGTATATTCTTGCCTCCTTTGTCAAAAATAAGGTGACCATATGTATGTGGGTTTATCTCTGGGCTTTCTCTCCTGTTCCACTGATCTATATTTCTGTTTTTCTGCCAGTACCATACTGTATTGATTACTGTAGCTCTGTAGTATAGTCTGAAGTCCAGGAGCCTAATTCCTCCAGCTCCGTTTTTCTTTCTAAGGATTGCTTTGGCTATTTGGGGTCTTTTGTGTTTCCATACAAATTGTGAAATCTTTTGTTCTAGTTCTGTGATAAATGCCAGTGATAGTTTGATAGAGATTGCACTGAATCTGTAGATTGCTTTGGGTAGTACAGTCATTTTCACAATGTTGATTCTTCCAATCCAAGAACATGGTATATCTCTCCATCTATTTGTAACATCTTTAATTTCTTTAATCAGTGTCTTATAGTTTTCTGAACACAGGTCTTTTGTCTCCTTAGGTAGGTTCATTCCTAGTTATTTTATTCTTTTCGTTGCAATGGTGAATGGGAGTGTTTCCTTAATTTCACTTTCAGATTTTTCATCATTAGTGTATAGGAATGCAAGAGATTTCTGTGCATTAATTTTGTATCCTGCTACTTTACCACATTCATTGATTAGCTCTAGTAGTTTTCTGGTAGCATCTTTAGGATCCTCTATGTATAGGAGCATTTCACCTGCAAACAGTGACAGCTTTACTTCTTTTCCAATTTGGGTTCCTTTTATTTCTTTTTCCTCTTTGATTGCTGTGGCTAAAACTTCCAAAACTATGTTGAATAATAGTGGTGGGAGTGGGCAACCTTATCTTGCTCCTGACCTTAGTGGAAATGGTTTCAGTTTTTCACCACTGAGGATGATGTTGGCTGTGTGTTTGTCATATATGGCCTTTATTATGTGGAGGTAAGTTCCCTCTATGCCTACTTTCTGGAGGATTTCTATCATAAATCGGTGTTGAATTTTGTCGAAAGCTTTTTCTGCATCTATTGAGATGATCATATGGTTTTTATTCTTCAGTTTGTTAATATGTTTTATCACATTGATTTGCATATATTGAAGAATCCTTGCATTCCTAGGATAAACCCCACTTGACCATGGTGTATGATCCTTTTAATGTGCTGTTGGATTCTGTTTGCCAGTATTTTGTTGAGGATTTTGCATCTATGTTCATCAGTGATATTGGACTGTAGTTTTCTTTCTTTGTGACATCTTCGTCTGCCTTTGGTATCAGGGTGATGGTGGCCTTGTAGAATGAGTTTGGGAGTGTTCCTTCCTCCGCTATATTTTGGCAGAGTCTGAGAAGGATAGGTGTTAGCTCTTCGCTGAATGTTTTGATAGATTTCGCCTGTGAAGCCATCTGGTCCTGGGCTTTTGTTTGTTGGAAGATTTTTAATCACAGTCTCAATTTCAGTGCTTGTGATTAGTCTGTTTATATTTTCTATTTCGTCCTGGTTCAGTCTCAGAAGGTTGTGCTTTTCTAAGAATTTGTCCATTTCTTCCAGGTTGTCCACTTTATTGGCATATAGTTGCTTGTAGTAATCTCTCAGGATCCTTTGTATTTCTGCAGTGTCCATTGTTACTTCTCCTTTTTCATTTCTAATTCTATTCATTTGAGTCTTCTCCCTTTTTTTCTTGATGAGTCTGGCTAATGGTTCATCAATTTTGTTTATCTTCTCAAAAAATCAGCTTTTAGTTTTATTGATCTTTGCTATTGTTTCCTTCATTTCTTTTTCATTTATTTCTGATCTGATCTTTACGATTTCTTCCCTTCTGCTCACTTTGGGGTTTTGTTTGTTCTTCTTTCTCTAATTGCTTTAGGTGTACGGTTAGATTGTTTATTTGAGATGTTTCTTGTTTCTTGAGGTAAGATTGCATTTCTATAAACTTCCCTCTTAAAACTGTTTTGCTGCATCCCATAGGTTTTGGGTATTCGTGTTTTTATTGTCATTTGTTTCTAGGTATTTTGTGATTTCCTCTTTGATTTCTTCAGTGATCTCTTGGTTATTTAGTAGTGTATTGTTTAGCCTTCACATATTTGTAATTTTTTACAGATTTTTTTTTCCTGTAATTGGTATCATCTCATAGCGTTGTGGTCGGAAAAGATACTTGATATGATTTCAATTTTCTTAACTTTACCAAGGCTTAAATTATGACCCAAGATATGATCTATCCTGGAGAATGTTCCATGAGCACTTGAGAAGAAAGTATATTCTGTTGTTTTTGGATGGAATGTCTTATAAATATCAATTAAGTCCATCTTGTTTAATTTATCATTTAAAGCTTGTGTTTCCTTATTTATTTTCATTTTGGATGATCTATCCATTGGTGAAAGTGGGGTGTTAAAGTTCCCTACTATGATTGTGTTACTGTCGATTTCCCTTTTTATGGCTCTTAGCATTTGCCTATGTATTGAGGTGCTCCTATGTTGGATGCATAAATATTTACAATTGTTGTATCTTCTTGGGTTGATCCCTGACCATTATGTAGTGTCCTGCTCTGTCTCTTGTAATAGTCTTTATTTTAGCATCTATTTTGTCTGATATGAGAATTGCTACTCCAGCTTTCTTTTTATTTCCATTTGTATGAAATATCTTTTTTCCATCCCCTCACTTTCAGTCTGTATGTGCCCCTAGGTCTGAAGTGGGTCTCTTGTAGACAGCATATATACAGGTCTTGTTTCTGTATCCATTCAGCCTGTCTATGTCTTTTGGTGGGAGCATTTAATCCATTTACATTTAAGGCAGTTATCGATATGTATGTTCCTATTACCATTTTCTTAATTGTTTTGGGTTTGTTATTGTAGGTCTTTTCCTTCTCTTGTGTTTCCTGCCTACAGAAGTTCCTTTAGCATTTGTTGTAAAGCTGGTTTGGTGGTGCTGAATTCTCTTAGCTTCTGCTTGTCTGTAAAGGTTTTAATTTCTCTGTCAAAACTGAATGAGATCCTTGCTAGGTAGAGTAATCTTGGTTGGAGGTTTTTCTCCTTCATCACTTTAAATATGTCCTGCCACTCCCTTCTGGCTTGCAGAGTTTCTGCTGAAAGATCAGCTGTCAACCTTATGTGGATTCCACTGTATGTTATTTGTTGTTTTTCCCTTGCTGCTTTTAATAGTTTTTCTTTGTATTTAATTTTTGATAGTTTGAGTATGTGCCTTGGCGTGTTTGTCCTTGGATTTATCCTGTATGGGACTCTCTGCGCTTCCTGGGCTTGACTATTTCCTTTCCCATATTAGGGAAGTTTTCAACTATAATCTCTTCAAATATTTTCTCAGTCCCTTTCTTTTTCTCTTCTTCTTCTGGGACCCCTATAATTCAAATGTTGGTGTGTTTTACATTGTCCCAGAGGTCTCTGAGACTGTCCTCATTTCTTTTCATTCTTTTTTCTTTATTCTACTCTATTTTAACTTCCAGGTCACTTCTCCATTATTCTGCCTCAGTTATTCTGCTATTGATCCCTTCTAGGGCATTTTTAATTTCATTTATTGTGTTGTTCATCATTGCTTGTTTGCTCTTTAGTTCTTCTAGGTCCTTGTTAAATGTTTCTTGCATTTTCTCCATTCTATTTCCAAGATTTTGGATCATCTTTACTATCATTATTCTGAATAATGATAGACTGCCTATTTCCTCTTTTCACGTAGACTGCCTATTTCCTCTTCATTTGTTTGGTCCAGTGGGTTTTTACCTTGCTCCTTCATCTGCTATGTGTTTCTTTCTTCTCATTTTGCTTAACTTACTGTGTTTGGGGTCTCCTTTTCACAGGCTGCAGGTTTGTAGCTCCCATTGTTATTGATGTCTGTCCCCAGTGGCTAAGGTTGGTTCAGTGGGTTATGTAGGCTTCCTGTTGGAGGGGACTGGTGCCTGTGTTGTGGTGGATGAGGGTGGATATTGTCTTTCTGGTGGGCAGGACCACGTTCAGTGGTGTGTTTTGGGATGTGTGTGCCCTTATTATGATTTTAGGGAGCCTCTCTGCTAATGAGTGGGGTTGTGTTCCTGTCTTGCTAGTTGTTTGGCATAGGGTGTCCAGCACTGTAGCTTGCTTGTCGTTGAGTGGAGCTGGGTCTTAGCATTGAGATGGAGATCTCTGGGAGAGCTTTCACCATTTGATATTACATGGAGCCAGGGGGTCTCTGATGGACCAATGTCCTGAACTCGGCTCTCCTACCTCAGAGGCACAGGCCTGATACCCGGCTGGAGCATCAAGACCCTATCAGCCACACAGCTCAGAAGAAAAGGGAGAAAAAGAGAAAGAAAGAAACAAATAATAATAAAATAAAATAATTAAAAACTAAAAAAAATTATTAAAAATTAAAAAAAAAAGACAGAAAGAAAGAAGAGAGCAACCAAGCCAAAAAGACAAATACACCAATGATAACAAGCACTAAAAACTATACTAAAAAAAAAAGGACAGACAGAACCCTAGGACAAATGGTAAAAGCAAAGCTATACAGACAAAATCACACAAAGAAGCATACACATACATACTCACAAAAAGAGAAAAAGGAAAAAAAAATATATATCTTTTGGGAAGTCTGAGGACTTCTGCCAGCATTCAGTAGGTGCTCTGTATGAGTTGTTCCACGTGTAGATGTATTTCTGATGTATTTGTGGGGAGGAAGGTGATCTCCATGTCTTACTCCTCTTCCATCTTGAAGTTCTCTGCAGTTCTTTTATACCTTGATCATTTGGCTATACCTCTCTGACCATCCCCAGCTGTTATTAATTTTATTTTTTGAGAGACTAAGTCTAAACTTGATGTGGTTTTCAAAAATCCATAGTTCTGTAGACAGGAGATTATCCTGCTACTTCCCCTTATTATCTCTGGTTTTACCTAACATTGGGGCTACAACATATTCAAATAACATTTTAACAGAATAATCCACACTGATTCCTCAATGCTTTTCTTGGGTAGGAACTGGTAATAAAAGTTAGTTCCCCAGTATCCCACCTATGTTTGCTAATTCTCATTATCTTACAATATTTTCCTGAAGTTTATTGTTACGAACTTGGCATTTTTCTACCCGAGAGAGCTAAGTACTGTATCCTTCATAAAAGTGACATTTGACTACTACTCTGCAAATGATTTATAAAAATCTCAAACAAGATCAGTATCAGAACTGATTGCCAATTGAAGGATTCCAGAATTAACAACCTTTTAGGCAGAAAATACCTATTTTTCCCCCACTCTTTACTTTCTGTAATAACCACAATTATAAGATACATGATTTTATAACTTATTCTTCAAGTACATAGCATAAGCACTTGCTATGTCCTGCCTCGTAACTGATTTCCTTTTCCATGATATAAAAGACAGTTTAGGCTCATGAAATTTCAGTTTTACTTTAGAGAACTTTTGAAAAATAGGTTTGGGAGGAGAGGAGAAGAGCCTAATTTGACAGTTTAACCCCATTTATAATGATGATTCCATGATCAAAAATGTACTTGGCAAATGAATATACTAGCTTGGGGAGTTTCAGGTCTATCATATTTGCATCAGCCACTTAACATTTTAAGAAAGAAGAAAGGCAGTACCAGAAATTGGGCTCCTTGTCCTACCCCCTCTTGCCTACCCTAGCCTTGAATTGCAGTAATAAGAGCAACTGATGGGGAATTCCCCAGTGGTCCAATGGTTAGGGCTCTGCACTTTCACTGCAGAGGGCATGGGTTTGATCCCTGGTCAGGGAACTAAGATCCCACAGGCCACACAGCACAGCCGAAAAAAAAAAAGAGCAACTGATGGCCCCCAGACATTTGAAAATAAGGAAATATGACAATTGGACCATGTCTCCCACTCTGGAACTCCAGATTTTCACTCCATGCCTTGATGTCATAAGGCCTCTATATGCACTATAGTCAGAGGTTGGGCAACTGTAATTCAAAACTTTATTTCCCCCCACATATTCTATCAATATATGAGGAATTAAACGGGAAGGAAACTGATTACCCTTTGAAAGAAAATTGTATTTTCTAGGCCTTTAGGTATCATTGTGCTAAATAATGTCAAAAACTTTAAAAGAACAAATACTTCTGCAAAAAAAATAACATCAAGCCTATTATTAGTGTTTATACTTTTTGGTTTCATTGTAGGATGAACCATTTAGTTGTACTCATATGCCTAGCGCAGAACCTAAAAAATAATAAGTACTCTACAAAATCATTAAATAATGAATAGGAGAAAAAAAAAGACCTTTCAGCACTGAACTTTTCAGTATTAACATTCTGAATTCCTATACAGATAATATTCAATGGTCTCCCTTTATTCATACATATGTGTGTGTGTGTGTGTGTGTGTGTGTGTGTGTGTGTGTGTGTGTATATATATATATATCCCATCCACCATCAAATATCTCAGTGATCTCCTCTTTACTAAAATAATGACAGAAGTCTTTCCCTGACAGCCTACATTTTTTAAATGTAAAGTTATTCTTTTCTTCCTAGGCTGTTCCTAAATTCACTGATCAGATATTTCGCTGGAGGAAGCATTTTAACACACTTAAGCTATACAAGATTGTTCAGAATAAAATGAAACTCACTAGTTCATAGTAACCAGAGTTTTCTTCTGAAACTCTTCTGCAGATATGCTCATGCTGATATCTGTCAGCCTTTTAGCACAGTGACCAACATGATAATTCCACCTTCAAGTTCTTTTAAAATTCCAGGATGGCTGCCATATCTTAGGTACTTATGTACATGAAACCTATGGCTTTGGGAACACCTCTAGGCTAACTTTTTTTTCCTGTTTACCCCAAACAAGGTCAGGGTGAACAAGTCACAAGCAGACTTAATAACAGATAATGAATCTCCTTAGTTATTTACTTACATGACTATAATATCAATTGCATTAAAAAGTGATGTCCCTACAATCTAGCTTATTATAAACCCATGAAAAATTACCTTTTTCCTGAGAAAGCTTTTCCTCCTGCCGTTGGTGGTGAGGTTTGTAAGGTGCTGCCCCCTGACTTAGTTCTTCAGCCACAAAACCATCCAGAAAAGATAAGGAAGCATCTACCTATATTAAAGTAAAGTAAAAATTAGGAATTAAAAAAACTTACCCTAAACATTAGACTGCACATTCACAGAAGTGATTTCAGCCCATATTTCCTAAAACTAATTTTTAAGTGAAAAACAGAACTTCAACTCTAAAATTGCTACTCAGCTCTCTTTCTGAAACATCTATAATCAAAACACTCAGCTAAGAATCTAACAATATAAGTCATATGCACTTATTATTCATTTCACTGCATCCAACATGTTAAGGCATCATGTTAGATGCTATAACTGAGACAAAGTAAGACACAAGTCCTGCCTCATGAGACTTGTAACCTACCAGAGGAGAAGACTCATACACTATGAGCTATAGTATCTACATTAGTTTCCTCCTGCTGGGGGCTAAAAACAAAGCCCCCAGCAAAGGCTAGTTCCTTCTGGAGGCTCCAGCGGAGAACAGGTTTCTTGTCTCTTCCAGCTCCTAGAGGCTGCCAGCATTCCTCAGCTTGTGGCTATATCACTCCAATCTTTGCTTCTATTGTTACTTGGCCTTCTCCTCTCTGACCTCTTGCCTCACTTTTATAAGGACGCTTGTGATTATATCATGCCTATTCAGATAATCCAAGATAATCTTCCCATTACAAAACCCTTAACTTAATCAAACCTACAAAGTCCCTTTTACCATATAAAGTAATTTAGGCACAGGTTACAGGGATTAAGATGTGAATATCTTGGGGAGGCCCATTATCCAGCCTCCCACAATGCCTTTGATTTAACTATCCTATTCCATTCTACCTAAAAATGCTTTGTTACAAACCTGTGGAAAATTACTTAATTTCCATAAAGTACAAGGATAGAAAGGTACAAGAGAATGCTTAAATGAAAAGAAATAAAGAGATGAAGAAAGAGTAAGGGGAAAAGGAGAAAAGAAAAAGTGAGGGGAGAAATAAAAATGAGATACACAAGAGGATATAGTAGTAATGACCTCAGAAACCACAGATTTGCCTCTCCTAATTTAGCCAAGTGTATACAAACAGCTCAGATAATTTAGAACAGCAGGTAATTCTCAAAAAATTTAAGTGGCATGTCACACTGTGCATTTGGCAAAGTTTAGTTTTGATAAGATTTTTTTTTTGAGTTTTTTTTCCCATGTGGACCACTTCTAAAGTCTTTATTGAATTTGTTACAATATTGCTTCTTTTCAAGTTATAGTTTTTTGGTCACGAGACATGTGGGATCTTAGCTCTCCAACCAGGGATTGAACCTACACCCCCTGCATTAGAAGGCAAAGTCCTAACCACTGGACCGCCAGGGAAGTCCCTCGATAAGATTCTTAAGAGATGAAGCCATGTCATCATCATTATCTTTTATTGTAAGAAAGGGAAGTAGAGTGAGTAACTAGTTTAATACTATGTATAGCATATTTATTCATATAGTCTCTGGAATGCCTACCAAATGTTAAACCAAGGCCTCTACCCATGAGGAGCTAATGAAAAAAATTAATGAACAAAGGTTCAAAATGAATACAAGCCATGAACATCTGAGTCATAATTAGTGGGAATACTGCCCATCCTCCCCTCTTCTTCAGCTATATGACATCTAATATAAAAATCTGAACAAATCTGACTTCCTTCTGGAAGTTTTCAGATTTACACCAATCTGACAGAGAACTCAGAGGTGAGCAGTAACTAAATGCTTTGGATTAAAAGCAGCACTGGCTGAAAGTAGATGGGAGAAGGAAAGGTGGGTGATCAGGTTCCAAAGTAGTAAAGATTTAGATAGTAGATGGACAAAATAAAATGGAGAACTGTTTTTTTTCTTACATTCTCAAAGAAAAGAGAGCAATAATAGAATGACATATTAGAGAAGTTCAAAGGAGATAAAATTTTTAAGTTCTCAAATTATTATATGTTAAAAGAGATTGTCATAGACTATAAACCCCTGCACTGCAGTTCTCCAGAACAGATTAGTCTTCCTAACTATTTAGGATCACTACTACATAGAAGCTCTCAAATGCTCTCTCACACTAATGTGAGAAAAATGCCAACCTTCATCTAAAGTGCTACAGAAATTACATTCTGGCATATTCCAGATATATCACAAATGCAAGAATTATTCTGTTTAAACACAATGCAATTTTGTAAAAGATGGAATGCAGATATCTTACCACCATGTCTTCACAACTCTTATCAACTGGAAGCAAGCCCTTCATAAATTTCACATTCTCATACAAATGTTTTAATTCAAATGCATGCTGTCTCAAACAAGTATCCAAAGATGTGGTAAATTCCTGGATTAATCTCTCAACTATATTAGAAGAGTGTGCTTGAGGTGTCAACTTGGTCACAGCAGCAATTATCCAGGCTTTTGTTTCTGAAGAAATGGAGTCACTTCTAAGTAACTTGTAGAGCTTGGTTATAACTTCCTCTGGCGTTTCCTTATCTAAGAGGTAGGAATACTCCCCTAAAACCTAAAACAAAGAAATGTATATATGCAAATATCAAATTATATAACAACTATACTCAGAAATCTAAACAAAGTGCCTACCACCGGAGTGAATTTAATTTATACTAAACATATTCTCATGGTGAAGAAATTATTAAAGATACATTTGTATATTTTAGGTTCAAAATTACACCAAGAATTGGAAGTGAGTACAAAAAGGTTTTCCACATCTTTATCGTTAACATATATAAAGCAGCATACCGTTACAAGTTAGCTTTCTTCTGAACTTCCAGGTTTGGATGTTGGTTTTTAAAAGCACCTTCACATTCTGTTACTATTTTTTTCAATAAGCATTTAAACAAGTGGTTCTCACATACTAGTATACATAAGAGCCACCTGAGGTGTTTCATAGAAATACATATTTCTATACTCTCCTTCCAGATAATATGATTTAGTATGTCTGTGGTGGGTATATACAATACACATTCTGAAAAAGCATCAGCTGATTCTGATGTAGATGATCCACAGAAGAGACTCTGACGAACACTGATCTATTTTACACATACTCTTTCCTACATCTAATTTATTCAGGTGATATATAATCCTATCGGTCTAAGGATCGTTAATAAACTGATAATTCATGGAGTGTGAGATCTTTCCTAAGTAGTATTTAGGAAGTATATTCATGTATAATACTGGGACGAGCAAGAAAAAACAGTGAGGTGAGGTGATAGGCAAGGGAAGATTTATGGCTAGTAACAACAAGAGGAAAAAAGAAGAAATAGGACTACATAAATTCAATCCTTAAATAGTAAGATAACTTTTTGACTGGTTTAATAAAAGATGGAAAGAAGTTCTAGAAGAACAGGTAACCTAAATCCCAGTTCAAAAATCAATGGACTTGAGCTTCCCTGGTTGCACAGTGGTTAAGAATCAACCTGCCAGACGTAGAGAGTGGACTTGAGGACACGGGGAGGGGGAAGGGTAAGCTGGGACGAAGTAAGAGAGTGGCATGGACATATATACACTACCAAATGTAAAATAGCTAGCTAGTGGGAAGCATCCATGTAGCACAGGGAGATCAGCTCGGTACTTTGTGACCACCTAGAGGAGTGGGATAGGGAGGGTGGGAGGGAGAAGCAAGATGGAGGCGATATGGGAATATATGTATATGTATAGCTGATTCACTTTGTTATAAAGCAGAAACTAATACTCCATTGTAAAGCAATTATACTCCAATAAAGATGTTAAGGAAAAAAAAGAGTAGCCCCCACTCACTGCAACCAGAGAAAGCCTGCAAGCAGCAATGAAGACCCAATGCAGCCAAAAATAAATAAATTAAATTAATTAGTTAAAAAAAAAATCAATGGACTTAAGCTTCTGGGAAGATAGAGTAGGTGAATTCCCCTATTCTTCCTGCTAAGTACACCTAAAAACCCTTGATTTTATACATAAAACACATACACAAAGACTGAAAGGTAGAGAAAAAAAGGCAGATCACTAAGAACCTTGGGACCTAAGGAACAATACAGTGGGTTATCTGTTGCCTCATATACCTCAGACTGGGTACTTGAGAGCCAGCAACCTAGAAATGCCAGTGGGAAAGGACAAAAAAGCCCCAAGAAAAGCCTGCCCTCTAGCCAAAGGGCCAGGAAGACAGAAAAATTTCAGATAATAATCCTTCTACTCCAGCCAAGCACCAAATAGAAAAAACTGTAGCCCCACCCATACCAGCAAAGGTGGAGTGGAGAGTCAAGACTTCAACCCCTACCAGGTTGTAAAAAGCATCTCAACTCCCCAGCAAGGGTGGTAACAGAGAGACTGAGTGAAAACCAGGAACTTCATCTCCACCAGGCTGTAGAAAGGCCCATTCTTCTGCAGTGTCTGTGAAGACTACATAGGAAGCCTATACTTCACCTCCACCCAAGTTTAAAGAAGTAGCCCTCCCCCTCTCTGCTGGAGTGGTGTCAGGGGAAGCCTAGCAGAGACTCAGGCTCAGTGGAGGCCACATAGTTAGAGATATCTACACCGCATCTCAACACCATCACCGAAATAATCCACATCTATAGAACACACCACCCAACAATAAGCAGAATACCCACTCTTTTCAAGCACCCACAGAACATATAAGACAGGTCATATCTTAGGCCATAAAGTAAACCTCAACAAACTTAAAAGAACTGAAATTATAGAGTACTTTCTCTGACAACAATGGAATCAAACTAGAAATCAGTAGCAGGAAAGATAACAAGAAATTTTCCAAACCCTTAATAACTAAACAACACCCTTGCACACAATCTTTCCAGGAAACAGAAGAGGAAAGAACACTCCCAAGCATTTTATGAAGCCAGTATTACCTTGATACCAAAACCAAACAGAGTAGAAGAAAACTACAGACCACTATCCCTCATGCACAGAGATGCAAAAATTATTAACATGGTCTCAAGAAATCTACAAAAAACAATTCTAGATTCATAAGTGAGTTCAGCAAGATTGCAGGGTATAAGAACAAAATACAGAAATAAACCTATACACTAATGTCCACTAATCTACAAAAAAAGGAAGCAAGAGTATAGGACAGAGAAAAAACAGTCTCTTCAATAAGTGGTGCTGGGAAAATTGGACAGCTACATGTAAAACAATGAGATTAGAACATTTCCTCACAACATATACAAAAATAAACTCAAAATGGATTAACAACCTAAATGTAAGACCTGAGACATACAACTCCTAGAAAAGAACACTCTTTGACATAAATCGTAGCAATATTTTCTTGGATCTGTCTCCTAAGGCAAAAATAAACAAATGGTATGCAATTAAAAGCTTTTTGCACAGTAAAGGAAACCATCAACAAAATGAAAGATAACCCTCATAATGCGAGAAAATATTTGTAAATAATGCAACCAACAAGGGCTTAATTTCCAAAATATACAAACAGCTCATATCAAAAGAACAAACAGTCCAATGAAAAAACGGGCAGAAGACCTGAACATTTTTCCAAAGAAGACATACAGATGGCTAACAGGCACATGCAAAGATGCTCAACATCACTAATTATTAGAGAAAAGCAAATCAAAACCACAATAAGATACCACCTCACACCTGTGAGAATGACTATGATCAAAAAGTCTACAAATAATAAATGCTGGAGAGGGTGTGGAGACAAGGGAACCTTCCTATATGGTTGCTGGGAATTTAAATTGGTGTAGCCACTATGGAAGACAGTACGGAGGTTTCTTAAAAAAATTAAAAGTAGAGTTGCCATATGATCCAGCAATCTCACTCCTGAGCACATACCTGGAGAAAACTATAATTTGAAAAGATACATGCCTCTAGTGATCATAGCAGCATTATTTACAACAGCCAAGACAAAGGAACAACCTAAAATGCCCATTAACATATTGAATGGATAAAGAAGATGTGGTATATATACACAATAGAATACTACTCACCCATAAAATAGAATGAAATAATGTCACTTGCAGCAACATGGGTGGACCTAGAGATTGTCATACTAAGTGAAGTCAAAGAGAAAGACAAACACCATATGATATCACTTATATGTGGAATCTAAAATATGACACAAATGAACTTATCTACAAAAGAGAAACAGACTCACAGACATAGAAAACAAACTTATGGTTACCAAAGGAGAAAGGGGTTGGGGGAGGGATAAATTAGGAATTTGGGATTAGCAGATACAAACTACTATATATAAAACAGATAAACAACAACGTTCTACTGTATAGCACAGAGAACTATATTCAAAATCCTGTACTACACCATAATGGAAAAGAATATGAAAAAGAGTATGTATAACTGAATCACTTTGCTGTACACCAGAAACTAACACATGCTGTAAATCAACTATACTTCAATAAAATGAAAAGAAGAAGGAAACAAACTAGTGGTTACCAGTGGAGAGAGGGAAGGGGAAGGGGCAAGTTAGGGGTAAGGGATTAAGAGACAAAAACTACTATGTATAAAATAGATAAGCAACAAGGATATACTGTATAGTACAGGAAATTATACCCATTATCTTGTAATAATCAATAATGGAATATAATCAGCAAAACTAATGAATCACCATGCTATACACCTGAAACTAATATAATATTGTAAATCAGCTATACTTCAATTAAAAAAAAAGATTTTGAAGTTTCTCCTGAATTTGTATCACTTTGCACCATCGTAAAGTTGAAAAATCATAAGCTTAACCACCTTAAATCAGGGACCATCTGTACCTAAGTATAAATCTAACAAAACAGGTACAGGATTTGTATGCTGTAGAAAAAGAAACACTCTAAATATATGAACATATTGTGTTCATGGAAGAAAATACAAATGGCCACCAAATACAACAATTAATTTAGGCAAGGATTATCAATGCTAAAACCATTGATGAAAGATAGCTGAAGAACAGATGTTCACAAAGTCTCACAGAATCACCTCACAGATTAGTTCTAAATTAGTAAGGAGAAACAGCACCTTTACAATGGCGAGAACCTTTACAAAGGTCACCATCTTAACCAAACAAAGAAATTTACTATCACCAATAATTGGAGGAACTGACATTATATGCATCCTGATACAATGCAGTGAGAAATACATATTGACAATGTAGTATTCTTGCTAAAAATATTTAACTGAATCAGAAATAGTCCAATTCAGAATGCTGGACATTCTGCAAGTCAACAGTATTCATCCAAAAAAAACAATGTCATGAAAACAAAAAGAAACTGCACATCACTGTAAAATAAAAGAGGCTAAAAGACATAACTAAATGCAATTTGTGAATCTTAACCTGATATGGGATTGGGAGGAGTAGAAAAATAGTCATAAGAGACCTTTTTTGGACAACTGGATAAGTCTGAATATGGACTGTATATTGGGTGATATTAATGAATCAAGGTCACATTTCTTAGGTGCAATAATGGTTTTATGGTTATCTAGAACATCACTCTTGGGAGATTCACACTGAATTTTTTACAGGGTAAGTGTCATGAGGTCTGCAACTCAATTTTATTTTTATTTATTTTATTTTATTATTATTTTTTTTTGTGGTACACGGGCCTCTCACTGTTGTGGCCTCTCCCATTGCGGAGCACAGGCTCCGGACACGCAGGCCCAGTGGCCATGGCCCACTGGCCCAGCCACTTCACGGCATGTGGGATCTTCCCGGACCGGGGCACGAACCCATGTCCCCTGCATCGGCAGGCAGACTCTCAACCACTGCGCCACCAGGGAAGCCCCTGCAACTCAATTTTACATGGCTCAACAAAACAAACTGTATATAGGTAGACCTAGCTATAGATATAGATGTATTGGGTTGGCCAAAAAGTTCGTTCGGGTTTTTCCATAAGATTTTAAGGAACCAAATAGATACAGTAAAGCAAAGGTGGTTAAAAATATTAACTGGGAATCTAGGTGAAAAGTACAGGGGTATTTATTATGCCATTTTTTCAACTTTCCTGTAGATTAGAAAAGAATTCTTTAATAAAAGTCTGGGTAAAATTATGGTTAACATGCTAACATTTGGCAAAACCATAAAATATTAAAGTATGAATATCCTATGACCCAGAGCTGCACTTCTCCAAATCTCTCCCTAAAGAAATGCTCACTCATATGCACAAGAAAGAATATACAAAGGTGACAGGATGTATACGATTACGTAGGTTTATATAACGTAAAACTGTGACCTTGTTTTGCAGAGATGATCTCCTTGCTGGCTTTGATGAAGCAAGCAGCCATGTTGGGAGGCCCACCTGGCAAGAAACTGAGGGCAGCTCTTGGAGCTAAGGGCAGGCAACATTCAACAGTCTGAACCTCAAACCCACAGTTTTACAGCTGCAAGAAACTGATTTCTGCCAACAACCACATGTGAGCTTGGAAGCAGATCCTTTACTAATCAAGCTTCAGATGAAACAGCAGCCCCAAGTGACACGATGATTGCAACCCTGAAAGACCTTAAGCAGAGAACCCATGCCTGGACTCCTAACCCACAGAAACTGTGAGATAACAAATGTATGTTGTTTTAAGTTTGTGGTAACATTATTATGCAGCAATAGAAAGCTAACATAGCACAGATATATGAGTATTCACATATTCAAAAATAGATTCACACAGAAAACACAACAAATACATTGTAGACACAGACAGGCATCTAAATAAATACCCATATTTAAAAGACTAGTCAAGTGAGATGGCAGAGAGAATGAATAGATAAGTAAATAGTTAAGTAGAAGGTAGCCACTGGGAAAGAAAATTGACAGCTGAAGGAGTTAACTGAGTAGAACTGAATGATTTCTGAAGAAATATATTAGTATTTGACTTTATAAAAAAATAATATTATAAACATTTATGATTCAATGTACTTTGCTCACCCAACTCATAACTTGAAGAAATCTCTGTGGGTAGAACACATTTTCCACATCTAGTAAAGTGAAATAAGACTGAACTGCATAGAGCCTTAATTGTTGATTTTCTGTTTCATCATCAAAACCTAGAAAGAAATTAATATACCATTTTACTTTCTACTAAATTCTCTAAGGACTCTGTAATAAAAACATTTAATTTTAAAATCTTTGCAGAATGCAATAGTTTACTAACCTTCTGCTAGCAGTCTCAGAAAGTTATTGGGAATATCAGGATGCATAACATCTCCTCCCACTGAAAATACAGCATTCATTGTCTGAATAAACCATGCATTATCAGGAGCATATGTGTCCACAGTGTTAAGAACAAGTACACTTCCAAATGCCACTTATTAAAATTATCCTTTCTGTATAAATCTTAAAAAAAAATAACCCTCAATTCATCCTAGTTTGGCATTTGTACCTTTAACTTCTGCCAATAAATTGTTCTATACTCCAGTTTTATGTAAAATAGGTGCTCAGTAAAAGCTTATTGAATAAACTTAATAAACCAGTTCATGTTGCTTTATCTAGCACCATATCTTGCACATAACAGGTGTCCAATAAATAACTGAAATAATTGAAAGAAATGTTCCAGCTAACTATGGACAAAAACATAATGGAAAATGATATGCACTTCAGAAACTAAATGTTGTGACATGTCTATCTGAACAAGTTGTTGACCCTCTTTTCTAATCTGTTCCTCTTCAGTTCTAAAATTCTATCATTCTGCTGGCCAGAGCTATAGCACTGGTTAGGACAAAACTATACTTAAGCAATTTCCAAGATACTATGATCAGCATTATTCATTCATTCAATCTTAGATTTAAACAACAGACATCTTAAAAAGAATGATGAGTAACCTCGTGACCTGCAAAGTTCCTCTGACTTTTAAAAAACAAATGTGAAGAAAAGTAACATGTGAATGGAGTTGCCAACTACTTTACTGTGACAATTTCCAGTATAAACATTAGTATAAAGGACAAATTTTAGCATCCTGATCCCCTCAACAATCCCCTGAAAACAACAAGAACTTTTACTCAGGAAAAGAAACTAAGTAGGAAGTAAAGTCAAAGACAAGGAGGGACTCTAAGAGGAATCAGACAGAGATTCCTGTATCCTCCTGCTGATAATACTGACCAATGGAATAAAAAGAACCAGGAAAAAAGTCATCCCCTAGGAAGTCTACACAAATTCTTGCTTTTGACAACAAGAGAGGCTTGAATATCAGGAATGGAAGTTACTGCTGGGCCTCTGAACTCAACCTGCAAGTGACCATGTCTAGAGCAATTATTTTAAAGTCACTGTGTAACTAAAAGGATTTTATGACTCATGGTCCAAACAAAGGATATTTCTCAGCCAGCTCAGCTATTTTGCCAACCAAATTGACAATAATATATTCTTCTTTGCTCTGATGTAAATATTCAAGCATTTTCTGGACAATCACTGTTATATTCTGTGCATTAGTAATTCTGTAAAGAAGCTCCAGAGTCTATTTAAGAAAGAAAAATAAAAATAGTATTATAAAACTATGCATGATAACAAATAAATACTGTAACATATAGGTTTATAACAACTGATTCTTCCACTTTTATGTAGCTCTACTGGGCAGTTAATAGGTGCTCAAGAAATGCACATTTTAACTGAACAGAACTTAAGAAAGGTAAGACCATTGTCAAAAAAAAAAAAAAGGATTATAATCAATTCCAAAGTCTAAAAGCCTTCTATTGATATAGATAATAATCATCTGACATCTCTACATGACAGGCCATGTAAAGACTAAAAAGTTAAAAGGTTAATAATCTATTTTCTAAAAATGTAACAGCTTCTTAAACCTACATTACTTATGCCTGTGTGCTATGCATGTGCGCGTGTGTGTATACATGCATACACATATAAAAATCCAGTCTTGCAAAATGCTCTTTCCACACTACCCGAACAACAGAAAACCACACTTGAATTGATTTGGCAGCTAAGGGCAAATGGTTTCTAATGGATGGATAAGGTAGTGCAAGCACTTCAAACCCCAGCAAGGCCTATGTTCAGAATCTCAGGTATCAAGGAAGAACCATTTTATAGCTTTCTCAGTGATGAGGTATATACCTCTTGCTGCCTGAAGAAAGATGAAGGATGACCAGTACCAGAGTAAGCTCCCATTTGGCTGGCTTTCTGAGGCCCTACATCAGGGTTTTAAAAATATCATAGTTCCCAGAAATCAGTAGGAGACAAAGGGCAATAATGAGAAAGCATCATTTACTGGCATTTCAGGAACAACAATATTAGCTGCAGGAGAATTTCCACATATCCTTCTCATCAAACTTGTTCATCTATCTTTAGGGTTCTTTCTAATTTTTCAGTCCTATACCCAGGACTTCAAGTACAAAGGACAACAGATTTTGAATTTTTTTAAAACTGTTCCAGTTAATCCTTAACACCATTTAAAATCTATAAATACATAGGTTCCCCATGTATTTATAGCTTTCAACCTAAGAAGCTGCTTCAGACATGCTTCCTGTAGACTCTATATGTCACGTATTTTAAAATAATCTACACCAAATTTAATTCCTACTCTAAGACCATGAAATTTAGCATTTCCAGGACTGAATGGGGACTGGTATTATGAACTGCATGGCTAGAGGTCTTTTCTGTTAACTCCTTCTTGCCTTCTTTTTCCCTGCTATGAAAGAAAAGTAATAAAATCAGGTAAAAGGGAATCCCAGCCCCAAGCAACAGGTCACTCCATACCCCAGGACCAAAGTTCTTGCCATATGGTTACTGATGGAGGTTAGAAGTGACAGTGGCATCGAGGAGACAGTACTGCAGTGCCTTCTTGGGGCACCACTGATACTCAGTACCCTTCCCCAAAAATTCAAGCTACTTTTCTCACTACAGATCAGACTTCATAATTTTAAAAGTTGTCTAGTTTCCCTTTGACCCTCATTTTTAAATGAGATCCCAATAAATAAATACAGCAATAAGAAAACTGTATCTAAGTCAACCGTGTTCAATTTAGTACTTAACCACACAAAGAAAATGCATGCTCTATGTCTGTTCGAAGTGGAAGAGCAATATAATTATGTTAATGTCCCTTGGCATCTTCTCATTTTTCTACAATGTCCACACATAGAAATTAGTACATCTGTAAACTTCCTGGATTCATTCACGGCAGGTAACCATTTTCAGAAGATTAAAAATATGAAAGCAAAAAACATATGTATATATATGTAGATGGCAATTTCTTGAAAATATTATTTCAAAAATAGTACTAAAATTCAAAATTCATAGTCTTATCTTTTAAAAATTATAGTTGTTTAATGTAATATAGTGTTCTCTCAATAAACTACTTTTAATTCACTGCTTTTAAGTAATTTAGATGTTTAGTAGATTCTTTTTATCTTTATTATTTTTAAAATCAGAAATAAAACTATCTACTCTTCTTACCTAGGTCCCATATACCATTTTAAATGAAGGTATAAAGTGATTCTCTACATAAGAATTAACAGATATATCTACATGGACACCCAAGTAGATATTGAAGCAATTTTATAAAAGGAAAAAGTTGAAAAAAATTAAGTAAATTATACAACTTTCCTTCCAAAAAGTTCAAAACATTTTAGGGATATCTTTGTTAATTCTTTCAACATTCCTACATATTCAATAGGGACTACATTAGCCTAGTTTATAGATGTTAATCATGGAAAAAATTAATAATCATAAATAACTTCTTAAAACTGTACTAATAGGAAGACCTGGGAATAGAGTTCAGGTCTCCAATTCATACAATTCTTGGACCAAAAAGATATTAATGAATCCTATACAGGTAACTGGACCTAACTCCTCCAACTCATAATTTATATTTTTATTATTTTTTTAAGAGTGCTCTTGTGTTGACAGCATTTGTTTCATTTTCTATTTTATTTATTTTTAAAACGTATTTATTTATTTTTATTTTTGGGTGTGTTGGGTCTTCGTTGCTGCGTGTGGGCTTTCTCTACTTGCGGCGAGCGGGGGCTACTCTTTGTTGCGGTGCGCAGGCTTCTCATTGTGGTGACTTCTCCTGTGTGGAGCATGGGCTCTAGGTGCATGGGCTTCAGTAGCTGCAACACGTGGGCTCAGTAGCTGTGGCTTGTGGGCTCTAGAGCACGGGCTTAGTTGCTCTGCAGCATGTGGGATCTTCCCGGACCAGGGCTCCCCTGCATTGGCAGGCAGATTCTTAACCACTGCGCCACCAGGGAAGTCCCAACTCATAATTTAAAACCATTATTGTCGCAGACATAGAGGATGGACTTGAGGACATGAGGAGGGGGAAGGGTAAGCTGGGATGAAGTGATAGCGTGGCATGGACTTATATATACTACCAAATGTAAAACAGATAACTAGTGGGAAGCAGCTGCATAGCACAGGGAGACCAGCTCAGTGCTTTCTGACCACCTAGAGGAGTGGGATAGGGAGGCTGGGAGGGAGACGCAAGATAGAGGAGATATGGGGATATATGTATATGTATAGCTGATTCAGTTTGTTATAAAGCAAAAACTAACACACCATTGTAAAGCAATTATACTCCAATAAAGATGTTTTAAATAAATAAATAAATAAACCATTCTTGTAATTACTGACACAAGTGCTTTTCAGAAAAGTTCCTTAAACTTCAATAGAAAGAATAAACTGCACTCAAAAGTTAAAATACGGGCTTCCCTGGTGGCGCAGTGCTTGAGAGTCCGCCTGCCGATGCAGGAGACGCGGGGTCGTGCCCCGTTTGGGGAAGACCCCCCATGCCGCGGGGCGGCTGGGCCCGTGAGCCATGGCCACTGAGCCTGCGCGTCCGGAGCCTGTGCTCCGCAAATGGGAGAGGCCACAACAGTGAGAGGCCCGCATAACGCAAGAAAAAACAAACAAACAAACAAACAAAAAAGGTACAACACACTGAAATCGTTGATTTTACAACTTGCCCTTTTTTCCTATGAGACATTTACATTTACATTATATATCTATACACACTTAGGCAAAATTTTGACTGCAAAAAAAAAAAAAAAAAAAAAAAAAAAAAGTTAAAATACACACGTGTGCACATACACACTGCCCACCATTTTAATCTCTCTCCATAATACCAACAAAAAGTTTAAAAATTGTAACACTTCACATACATTACTCAAAATACCAGTTTACCTCTCTTTTAATAATGGGATCAGGATGGTCTAAGCATTCAATTATTGTCATCTGGTGTTGAAGAGCCAGAGTGGGATCCTGTTGGATAACATAGGTAAGAGCCTTCAATCCTAGAAGCAAAGATTACATTATAGAAAGTGACATAAAACAAATACCCAGCAAATTTCAAAAACTCTCTTGGTAATTTCCATCAAAAGAACCAATCATCTTACCTAAATATTTGAGATTTATTTTAGGTGACAAAACAAATTTTCCAATGCACTTGGCAGCCTTCTCAAGTAATTCCGATTTAGGATAAATAGAATAGACTGTATGTACACATTCAAACAGAATAGCTATAGAAATAAAATATTATAATGTCAGGGATCGTATTAAGGCATAATAAAAGAATATATCTGTGTAAAACTCCTAACAAAACAAACTAATTGGAAGGTCAGTTTTAGTCAAAAATCTTACTTATGGAAATTTTTCAAAGATAAGAACTTTACTGTTTTCAGGCTTTATACAGTTGTTAGGATTACGTTACCACAGTACAATTTAAAGAGAATGATGTATATTAATAGATAAGAATGATATATTCAGTCATGCAACAAGTATTTTCTGAAACTTCCTATGAGCCAGACATTGTTCTATGAGTATGGATACAGCGGTGACAAAAACCCCTGCCCTCAAGGAAATCACATTCTAACGGACACATAATACATTCATTGTTCCCATATAAACAGATACTTCCAACACTCCTTGAATGCTTAAAATAATTTATTCTTAGGCATTTTCTACCACTTTTACACAGAAACTGTATATGTAGTTTATTTCAGTGCAGTTTATTTCAACATAATCATTTCAGGATGCTCTAGCATTTATTTCAAAATAGGGCCACTACTCAAAGATCTTCAAACCACTTTCTAACAATTAACCTCCAAGGATACAGAAAATCTACTGAACATCTTAATAGTGTTCAAATTTGATTTTCTGGTCTCATCAAAGATCTGATAGCTATAATAGATGATCAAAGTGGATACTAAAATTTTTTTCAAACTCTCTTAAAGAGCATAAGTCAAAGAGCTGGAGCTTCGCCATGGTAAAGAAGAATCATTTAGGCACCATTAAGTCCTGCATGTCCTGTGGAGTCACAGAATGAGAAGTGAGACACAGAATCAGCAGACTTAAAAACAGTTCTACTATATAGTTGAAGCATATCGTGTCTTTGATAGAATCACTCCTGCTCTTTTTCCAAAAGCTTAAAACATAACATTCAAACATTTGTGTACAGGATATAAGATCCTGAATATTCAACTAACTATGTTTTACACTGCTAAGCTGTCTATCAATTGATACACATATAAATTTCTAGTAAAAAGCTTGACATAAATAAATACTTTCTAAAGAAGGAGAGAGAAAAGAAATCAGAAGGAAAGATTTTTAAGAAATAAACAACTCTTTAAGAAGGGAACTGACTTTAATTAAAGGAAAACCTACAAAGTCAATTGAACCTAAAAAGATTCTTTATATATCCAGATGTTATGCTGTAAAAAGTCGTTACTCTGTGCTACGAAAAAAGCTGATTTTATGACTTCACGAAGTAAACAGAGAGCCTTAGTCAACTAACTTAACTAATCAACTGAGGCAGGAGTAGTCAACACATCATTAAACACAGCCCTCAGCCTATCTTTGTAAGCTGTGAACTAAGAATGATTTTTACATTTTTTGAGATATAACTGACATTTAAAATTATTACTTTTAGGTATACAATTACATTTTTAAAGATTTAAAATAAACAAAGGAGAATATATGACAAAAACCTATATGACCGACACAAAACCTAAAATATTTACTATCTAGCCCTCTTTTCAGAAGAAGTTTGCCAAACCCTGAAAAAACGTGCTAGTCCTAAGTAAGATTAAAAATGATGATGTTCCATTTTCTATCATAACTGACATATTTTCCTTTATGGATTTCTACCATTTAGAGCTCTCCTATCAAGATGTTTTACTGACAACAAAAGCTTCTCAATACCCATCTAAAACCTAAACTTTTATATTTAGATGCTCATAAGATTTCTGAAAAGCTAGTTTAGGTAAAATTAATAGTTCAAAAATTGCACTAATATTAGTCAACCTAGGCATAAATGAGCTGAAATGAACTTAACAGGTTTTTAAAATTATTTTTAAATAATTTAGAGGCTAATAGCCTTTATTCTCCAACTCTACAAAAGTCTAAGGCCATAAATGAAAAAGCAATTACTCTGCTGTCTCCTCACTGCAGTGGTTAAAAGAATACAGTAAGTCCCCTACATACGAACCTTTAAGTTACAAACTTTCGAAGATACAAATGTGCCCCTGTATGCCAGCAGTTGTACTGTACTACTGTACTTTTCAAGGTACTGTGCTGTAAGATTAAAAATGCTTTATTTATTTTTGTGGTTTTTTTAATGTATTATTTGTGTGAAAAGTGTTATAAACCTATTACAGTACAGTACTATATAGCCAACTGTGTTGGCTGAGTACCTAGGTTAACTTTGTCGGACTTACGAACAAATTGGACTTACAAACACGCATGTAGGGGACTTGCTGTAGAGCCTCTAAGGATTTCTAAAAGGTAAAATGCATCGTGGAGCTTTGTTTACTCTTCCAGAGGAAGCCAGGTCCTAATCAAAATACCATCAAGTAAAAAATTAACAAATTAAAAATTAATAACATTCTAACATTTGTGACGCTGTGGTTTTACCATAGATATTTTGGGTAGGATTATGCATAAAATTTGAAGAAGTTCTACTGACACTGTATCCTTCAGACTAGACTTTACTTTCATTTTAAATAAGTTAACTACTGTCACCACTCTGGCAGGGAGATGCGGGTACCATGCAATGAGGGTGGCAGTCCGCTCTGCCTCCTTTAACACTTGGAGAGGCAGGGGATGCTGGTTCCTTCTGGATGGGGGATGGAAGTACCCTGCCTGGAAGAGGGAGGGGCACCCTGTTACTGCTCCCTATACGACCTGCATTGAGATTAAGGGGGTGGCCCTGGTATACGTGACCAGTTTAAAAGCCCTAACTAGTCACTAGACTTCTTCTAACGCCACCTCAGGAAAGATGGGAGGGGTACCTCATTATTCCCTACTCCTGGATAATGTGAAATCCAGGCTTCCCACATCATCTCCACTGGCAATGCCAGGGAGGGTCCCCCTTAACATCTGGCAGGGATGAAACTGCAGCTGCCCCTCTTGGTCTTCACCACTAGCCCCGTGGGAGGGTTGGGGCACATCACTGTATCTGGTGAGGGTGGAAATCTTGACTCTCCATTCAGCCTCTGCCGCTGTGGGTGGTCCACAGTTTTTTCTGTGTGATGCTTGACTGTAATAGAAGAGCTATTGTCTAAAAGTTTTCTATCTTACTAGTTTGCCCTTTTTCCCTTAGTCATCTGGCTAGAGAGCAGGCTTTTTTCAGGGCATTTTTGTCTGCACCTGTTGGCATTTTCAGACTGCTGGCTCTTCAGTACCCAGTCTGGGATATATGAGGCAAAAAGGAAGCCCAGGGTACTCACCTTGGTGTTGTTCCTTGAATGCAAAGGTCCCTAACCAGTCTACATTCATTTATCCACCTTTCAGAGTCTTATATGTTTATTTTACATATAATGTCCAGAGTTTTTAGGTGTACTTAGTGGGAAAAGTACTTCTATCTACTTTTGATGGTTCTATCCCTTATACTCCATTTTATGTAATTCTCCCAATTTACCAAATAGTTTACTAAAAATGTCTTTCTCATCTTATCAGTACCCTGCCCAAAACTATTCCATACCTCCAGATTTATACAGTATAAAGTTCCTTTGGCTGCCATAGGAGGACCTCCACAATATGGGCTTCCCACTGCTTCACTACGAACTGTCCAAACAGGCTGGCAAGTCACTGTTCTCTGAAACTGTTTTAAATACACCCGCTTCTGCACCTTCTCTCATGTTCCCTCTGCCTTAGAACCACTTTTAACCTCCCTTCTGGCTATCTTAATCCTATCTTTCAAGGTCCTATTACATCAATAAATCTTTATGTGCCCTGAAGCCCAGAGTGATCTTTATCGCCTCTGTATTCCTGTAATATTTATTGACTTTATCTCCCCTTTGCATTCTGCCTTATACTGATATTATGCTTTCATAAATAAGTTATCTTCTCCATTATACTGTAAATTCCTTGAAGGCAAAGATTATATTTAATACTTCTTCATATCCTCTACATCACTTCATGCAATGCCTGGCACATAGCAGATACTCAGTAAATGCCTCTGATGTGATTTATTTCTTGATTTGACACTAAGTTATAATAATGAAACTTTCATAAAAATACAGTTTAAAAAATATTAAGACTGAAACCCAATAAGATAACTGATAGAAGTAAAATAACTTTCCCTTCTTTCAATTCAATTAAAACATATTACTCACTGAGTAATCCAGTGCCAGATACTGGGATATGCTGGCCAATAAGACAGACACAGTCCCTGCCCTTATGAAGTTTATAATTAAAATTCACATTTTTAACTAATAAGATATTTATATTAGGTTTACTAGAGAACACTCTACCATTGATAAACTCACTGTAAGCTATAAACTGTATCAGTACAAATACGGGGGGAAATGTAGAACAAACAGAAGATAAATAAAGGAAAAAAGGGAAACAACAGAAACTAAGTTTCTCTGGCAAGGTGAAACACTGGACTGACAGACTACAGAGAAATAAATTGTTGGCACTGGTCCCAGCAATCTTAATAAAAGAAGGATGTCCTAATGGAGAACATTAAAAAATATTTCCTCAGGTGTACAGTATTCTCTAAATCGAAAGTAGTAAGAGTGGTTATCTCCAGGAGGGGGAACTGGGCGGTGGGTCATAAGGGTCAAAGGGACACTTACTGTTCACTGTATACCCTTTTGTACCTTTTGAATTTTGAACCATGTGCATATATTACCTATTCAAAAAAATTTTAAAATTAAAGCTGAAACGTCAATTACCGAAAAAAAAAAACACTTTCTGCAAGGAAAAAAAGCAGACAATTGATTTTAAACAGAATTCCTTGAGAGCCTTTCAAACCCTTATCCTAGACCATGATTATATCTCAAGCAAAACTTTTTAATTTACTTTAGCTGCCTCCAAAGATTGTGACACTACTCTGGATACACTGACAGCTCCTAGCCAAACCACCTGCCTCAATAATGATCCTTATCTCTGGCACCTTATTCTTCTCATTACATAGCAGGATCCTAGATGATGTCAACTATTCATTATACTATACACTTATAAGGGCAGGGCCTGTGTCTACCTTATTCTTCCCTTAAGCTCCCACACTTAGCATGGAGGAATACGTTAAGTCAATCAACTCTTTCCTCAATCTGTACCTAGTTTACAAATTAAATTTTTGTTTCGTAGGCATTCAATAAATACTGGGTGAACAAATGAATACACCACACTTATTACCTTAATTACCATTTATACACGCAAAACATAAATCTATCCTTCAAAATTACTATCCCAATTCACTACCACGTGCATTATTTTTTCCATACTAGTCTTATGCATGCAATCCTTTCTTTTTATTCCTACTGCATTTTTGTCAAGCACTTTTATTACAGTTAAACTAGTTTAATTTCTGCCCTCTAGTCTACTCTGCACTTCTACAAGATCCACAGTTTACCACTGTCTGAAAGAACAAGTAATGCTCTCCATCCCCTACTTCACGGTATTTTACCAGATTAAGAAATGACTTCTCATTTGAGTTATACCTCTCAATACCTCTTCTACTGCCCTTCTCCATACCAGGTGAGATTCAAACTGTTTTACTTCTCTCCTTTAAATATCTCCAAATATCCCAATTTCTTCAACGAGCTTTTTCAGGCTGATCAATAAAGAACTAAGAGTTCTTCCCTCTGGCTATTAAGACTGGAAGTTTTTTTGGTTACTTTTCTCAGTTCTCCTCCCTCCTCCCCCATTTTACTCTTGTCTCTTATCACTAAATTACTTTGTAAAATTGTATTTAACATTAATAGCTACTGTATCTTCATTAAAAAGTACATTATTCCACATCTATATATTCTTATCTATATCGTACTCATCCTTCAGTTATCTTCTTAAATATCACTTTTTCAGAAAAGCCTTCCTTGTTCTCCCTCTCATCTAAGACTAGCTGCTGTATTCTCCAGAGTACCTTGTAAATTCATTTCTGTAACATTTCTAGTACCTGTCCCCTTCCATCTATCTAGGCTGTGAGCTCAACGATATTATTTTATTCACGACTGTATTCCAAGCATCTTTCACAGGGTCTGATAAATAACAAAAACTTAAGAAATATTTGGTGACTAGTTGACTGATTATTTCATTTAAGAACTGTCTTAAGTATGGAATGGACCTACTAGGTTATCTTCACAGTCAATTAGATGCCTGATGGACATTTTCAATACAGAGACAATTTCTCTTTAAAAATAAAGACTTAAAAAGAGAGACAATTATAATAGTCAATTTAGGTCAACATATAAAGAATGGTGTAATTTCAAATTATTTTTATTAGTTATTCAATGCTTCCAGTGAAAAATAATAATACCAAAACCACCTTAAAAATTAACATTTAAAATTCTATTGAAATTTATAATATTCTAACACAGATTTAGCTATAATACTGAAAACATTATTAGTCATTAGAGCAGCATTTACATATATTACCTACCATATGTGACATTGTGATTTAACTCAGCTCTTCGTAAGGATTCATCGAGAACATCATACATTAATTCACTTGTCCTGTTTAAAAGATATTTTATTTGCAGTGGAATTATAGTATTATAACCCAATAAAATATAGTTTTTCAAACTTCTCTCTCTTTAAAACTGAGGATCTACAGAAAAGAAGTGAAAGAAATTCATTTTATGAATTGGGAATTTCACTTCTTAAAGATTCCATTTGTTCTTTTTCATGAGTTTAACTTCCTGCTTTATCAAAGCTGACTAGTCAATGAAGAGATAAGTCAATCAACTCTTTCCTCAATCTGTACCAACTTTACAAATAAAGTTTTTATTTGATTGAACATGCTATCTTTTATAATTTTCTTCGTAATATAATATTTCTACCTGTTTAAAGTTACTACACTAATACTTCACATAACCAGATTACTCCAGACAGTATATTCTGTATTTCAAACACTTAGTTTTTAAAAAATATTCAAATACTAGTCTTTCTTTGAGCAGTACCAGGTTCATCAGAAAGAAAATTTTAACTTTCATTTATGTTAAATATAAAGAAATTATATTTTGTGGAATTAACAGATTAAAACCATTCCTATGTCTTTATGGTCACTGATTACAGTTACAGTTACTGGGTTGAGACAGATAATATACAAAAATGCAGTGTTTTATAGAGCCCTAGCACTCTGCCACCAAGCCTTTTCTCCAAGGAAAAGTGCTCTCCAAGAGGCCAATGTGAAAACTGTGGCTTCTCAGCTGATATTTTTGTACGTTTTGTAAACTCAAAAAGCACTAATAGAAAAAAGCACCATCAACACAGAATACCCAGGGACTTCCCTGGCTGTCCAGTGGTTAAGACTCCATGCTTCCAATGCAGAGGGCACGGGTTCAATCCCTGGTCAGGGAACTAAGACCCCACAGGTCACGTGGCGTAGCCAAAAAAAAAGTAACAATAACAACAAAAAAACCCCGACCCACAGAATACACAGTTGTTTCTTTCAGAGAAACTACACTATAAAACAAACAAAAAGATGAAAATAATCTGGGGCTATACAAATTACATATCATGTATGTTACAACTTTCTCAGAAAATGTCTTTTTTTTTCAAATATACAGCTGTAAAACTCAATATGAAATGCATGTACTTCTATTGCATCTTAACTAAAGTATAAATATCCAGTGAGAATCCAGAACCATATCCTAAAATTCCTCATTTTATTATGTAAGCATTTCTTCCACAGACAACAACCATATAGTAGACATTACAAATCCTTCCCTCCCCAAATTTGGTAATACTACACTTAGATTATGGTATAGTTGCCCAATTTTAAAAGTCAATGTCTGGCATAAGAGTCATAATTAACCACATGAAATCTGGAAACATTTGCAGACATGATTGAGCTAAATGTTAATAACGTAAGAAGCAGAATGCTGTAAAACACAAGAAAATATTCAAACAATAGATATAAAAGACCATAAATATAAGAGATTTTTCCAGTAAGTTAATTCTTTCAATTAAATACATTAGAATCCTGTTATAAAATAACTTAACATTTTTACTTTGCCACATTGAGCTAATCATAACTTAAGAAATATACGTTAACATAAAATCTTTATTAGAGTTTGAACAACAAAGGAGGGAATGAACATTCTAATGTTCCATAACATTATGAGAGTTCTACTCTTTATTCATTTAATTAAGCCTAATTTCTATTCAACTGAGCTCTCTGAACTCTATTCAACATACTCATCTTTACATATTCTTCAAATTCATCCATGAAGGAAAGAAGGAAGATAATGAGTTAATGAATTTAGTAAATTCACTAAATGCCTCCAAAGTTACTTCCTGACAACATATGATGGCATTAAATCCTTTTGGACCAGTGAGGTCTGAATGCATTGCTATGAAGTTCATGGTTTTAAAACAGAATTCTAGTGAACTCCAACTAGAGCTCCATAAAAGGACAAACATTTCCAATGTGTGTGTCTGCTCCATCAACTCCAGGTTTTCACCCTAGGTTTCAATCAAGGTTGAGATTCATAAACATAGAAAAAAGTAAAATAGCAACACCAAGAGTGATACAGCCCAGTTAGCACTCATCAGGAGCTAACCAAAGACGGATGCTGACATGACACTGAGGAAACATTACTAGGAGCAATAATAACCTAGAGGACAATCCCTTAGTAAAGTGAGACTAAAGAATTAGCATATAGGAGTTCCCTGGTGGCGCAATGGTTAAGAATCCGCCAGCTAATGCATGGGAGCCCTGGTCCAGGAAGATCCCACATGCCGCAGAGCAACTAAGCCCGTGGGCCCTAGAGCCCGTGCTCCACAAGAGAAGCCACTGCAATGAGAAGCCCGTGCACTGCAACGAAGAGTAGCCCCCATTCGTGGCAGCTAGAGAAAAGCCCACACACAGCGACAAAGACCCAATGCAGCCAAAAATAAATAAAATTAAAAAAAAAAGGATTGGCTTCCCTGGTGGCGCAGTGGTTGAGAGTCCACCTGCCGATGCAGGGGACACGGGTTCGTGCCCCGATCCGGGAGGATCCCACATGCCGCGAAGCGGCTGGGCCCGTGAGCCATGGCCGCTGGGCCTGCACGTCCAGAGCCTGTGCTCCGCAACGTGAGAGGCCACAACAGTGAGAGGCCCGCGTACCACAAAAAAAAAAAAAAAAAAAAAAAAAAGGATTAGCATATAAATGTACCCTACTGTATAAAACAAAACCACATCTCTAAAGTCAGACCTGATCAATAGTATTTTCTCAAGACAGAAACACATCAGGGGCTCAAGCCATGGTCCTTGCTCTCAAGGGGACCAAATCTAGTTGCTCTTGAACAGTTTAAAAAAAAATTCTTAAAAAAAAATAACAGGTGTGCACACATGCACACACAGAGAGAGAAAGAATGATAATGCAAATACAAATAATTGATGAACAGAGGTAGAGAGAGCTCCCTGTACTATTCTTGGAATTTTTCTGTAAGCTTGAAAAACTACAGCAAAATTAAAAGTTACAAAAATATATGTAACTGGAAAGGCACCCATAAAGTTTAATAAAATTACTGCCTTAAAGAGTAATTCAAACAAATGAATTGTTCCAATTAGAGCAACAGGGTAAGCAAACTATAGTCTGCATGCCTAATCTGTCCAGATGCCTGTTTTTGTATTGGCTACAGGCTAAGAATGGTTTTTACATTTTTAAGTGGTTGAAAAAAAATCGAAAGAATATATTTCATGACACAAAAAGATTATATGAAATTCAAGTTTTAATGTCCTTAAAGAGTTCTTTTGGAACATAGCTGTGCTCATTCATTTACATATTATCTATGGCTGCTTTTGAGCTGTATACAACAGCAGAATTAAATGGTTGCAATAGACAACATGTAGCCCACAGAGCCTAAAATATTTATCTGGCCCTTTATAAAAAAGTTTCCCAAGCCCCAAACTAGAATGGTTAAGAAAGTTTCATGGAACATATGGAGTTTCAAAGGTTCTTGCACTGTGAGTAGGACTGAGATAAGCAGAGAGCCAGGATTATCCCAGCAACATGAATTTTTACACTTCTTATAGTGGCTTAGTTATCACTATTAAGTCAATTAAGCATTGGGAGAAGCTGGTTTATCATGAAACCTCTAGATGACTAAAGCCTATCAAATTTACCTAGAATAGTTTACCTTTGATCATCTTTTCCTAGAAGTCCTAGTATTCTCAACAGCTGAATTTGTAACCATGGTGCTGGTACACTGTGGTAATTGAAATCTACTGGGAGTTTTCCTCCAACCACTTGCTTCAAAATTGTTACAAAACTCCCAGTCAAGTCTTTATATGCAGATGAATTCTCCTACATCCAAAAAACAAAGTAAAACAAAACAAAAAACTTTGTTAATAATAATGTCTTAAAAATAAAATAGACCTGGTTGAAATGACATATAGAATCTAACTTAATACATGCTCACTTAAGAAGTTTCATGTTCAGATTTAATGAAACAGTCCTCTAACTGTGTAATTTCTTCTACCATGAAACTCCTCTGGCTACCAGATCCAGAGCTGAATCATGCCCCAAAAAGCTTCCACCACTTCCTACTTCCTATACAGTTTAATCACATTTCCAAACTTCTATAATTACATCTTAGAACCTTTAAAAGCTAGTATCAGCAATTAAAGCAAAAATTGAAAAGAACTGGCATACTGAAAAAAGCAGTAATACTTCTACTTTTGATGAAAACCAAGGTCTGTTTCCAATCTCTGAATTTTGTTTTCAAATGACTTCTCATGTGATTGAACTAAATATGTTCCAGGTGGAAGACCATAGCCAAAATTACTCAAACATTTAAACCCCCAAAATCAGTAATCCTGCTTATCAAAAATTAATTAACTCTATAGTATTTAAACATATTTGTGATTCTGAATGAGTATGCCTTGATTATCTATCTGACTAATCGCTTGGACTGGGGAAATTTTTTTTTCATCCTATTTTTTTAACTGAAGTGTAGTTAACATACAATACTATATTAGTTTCAGGTGTACAACAGAGTGATTCAGCATTCATGTATAGTACGAATTGATCACCACTATAGGTCTAGTAACCATCTGCCTGAATGGGGAAATTAAATACACATTCCTCAAAATGAATGTTAGACTCTTCATTGTAATTTTTACTATGTATCAAGGACAAATTTTTGGAAGGGAAATGATAGCTCTTTCAGAGTTTAATAAATGTTAGAGGAAAAATAAGATTTAATATCAATTATCTATTTATACCACACTATTTTGGAGTATACAATGCATAAAAGTAAAGACAACCTTCAGTTTCTGTAATTTTTAATTGATTTCAACAGCATATCCCATTTCATTATGAGGTATGATGAAATCTCTCACAAATATATACTTTCAGACACAAAGGGTTTCAGGCAATACACTGGGGTTGAATTAGTATAAACCCGTATCATCATTTAGAAAATTTTTTTTTTTTTTTTTTTTTTTTTTTTTTTTTTT